CCAGAGCGCCTGGGCCAGCTTCACCCTCTTCTGGAAGGAGAACTTCATCTTCATCAGCACCATGGCGACAGTGAACCGGTGCCCAGAGCACCGGGGCCGGGGGGAGGGGGAGGGCTAAGTGGACTGGGACCCCCGTGGAGTGACTTGGAGAATGAGTGAGATAGGAAGACCTGATGGTGGCACAACAGAGATAAGGAGGATAAAGGAGAGGGGGGGTGGGCAGATTGAGAGCTACGTGGAAGGGGATGGAGAGAGGGCAAGAGAGGGAGAGAGGGATGACAGAGGTGGGGAGGGATAAAAAGAGATTGAGGACAGGTAAGATACCTGTGGGTCCATAAATATGGCATTCAGAGCTCTGCCAATGTGCCTGGATTTCAATTTGGCTGCAGGGGGAAGAGAAGTGTAATGAAAAAGAAATCCAGATTAATATTTAAAGTTCTCTGTGTTAGTCATGCCAAAACCATGAAGCACATTTTTATCTCCAAAGCTTAGTGAAACTTTTCCCACTTCAATAGGTGCTGCGGAGCGCGTCTCATTTCAGTGTTATTGTGGAAAACTGAGTGGTCACTTATCAGGAGACCGAGGAGCTTAGATCTTCCCCTCTATCCTACTAAACTTTAGACTCTTGTGCCCAAGGAGAAACACAGTTGACTCCCTCAAGGCAGGTACTGACCTGGGCTGTGTAGTGCAGTCTCACTGTCTATCCTATCAAACCTATACCGTCCAATGAGAATCCAGGACATAAGTCAGCCAGACATGCCAAGTGTGGCACACTGCTTTGGTACTTCTGGAATGGAAGGGATCTGACGGAATGGTCTGATTGATTATGACATCTATGGGATGGTGTGTGGCTTAGTGGGTTAGGGACTCCATGCTCGGCAGAGTAACTACATCTCCATTGGGCCCTTCAGCAAGATCCTTAACCCTCCAGGAGTGCCGGACAGACGGCTGATCTTGCACTCAGACCCCAAGCTTCGCTCTCACCTCTATATGTGAGTGCGTCTCAAAGGAGAGCATGCTGGGATAGGCGAAAAACACATCCCAGTGTATCTGCTCTCGTGCTTTTTACAAATGACAAGTGAGGCTTCATTTTATTTCACATATGAAGGGTCGAGGATTGAGAGGGACATAAATTGATAGAATGGCTGATTAACAAGGAGGAATGGGCTTGTTTTAAGCTCATTGAATGGGCAGGGCACCATTCTCAAGGAACTATCTGCCTGCAGGAGTTGATGTCATAACAATGAAGAAACAATGAATCGCTTGATTCGTTCGCCTGGACCTACGGATCAGCGGGCATCTATGCTTTGAAAGCATTTCGCTCCTGCTCTGACAGCCCTTGAGATGCTCTATTATCCGTAATCCTAAAACCACGACTATGGACTGTTGAAGACCATAAACTCGAGAGCGAGTGAAAAGCTGTTTTATGGGTATCGTCTCTTCATTGATGGATGCTTGGCAAGATTAGGACCATGAAGACTGCATCTGTATAACTGACACTTTCACAACTCCAGGCTGCGGATGGACTAAGTGACACAAATGCTTATGCGCAGAGCACTTTGGTGGAGCAAATGAAACGTTTACAATCCGGACACACAGCAGAAAAGTAGAACTAGACGATTACCGCCTTAGGGATAAGCTTGCATCTCTAATTGATTTTCTGTTTAGACAAGGACTTTAATTGCAGCCATTTGTCCTGCAGTTTAAATTTCTAAATCTATTGGAATCTTCAATCAGACAAGCGCAGTATCAAGTTATTTCTTTTTCTAGCAAATTCAGAACGTGCACATTAACCTACTGTACCGAGGCAAAAAAAGTTGGTGCGGTCATAAATCTTTTAATGAGTCCAGTTAGGAAATGACTTTAACTGAGTCACACCAAATAAAGCTCTCAGAAGAGAGTTTTGTGGGGGCGGGGTTACTGCTCCGCCTTGATCCCTATGTATGCCATCAGCTGCATAGTGATGTTTACTGGCTCTCTGCAGTGAGTCTATAGTAACTCCAGAGTTATACTTGAGATACAAGCTAGCATGACAAGATAATCCATGTCAGAGAGGGCACTGTAAGCTACTTCAGGATTTACAAACTACCTTAAAACCGAAAGGCTCCTGCGTTTGGCTAAACGGTTCAGCTCTTCTTGTGCTTTGACTGATTTGTTTCCTTGATTGAAAGACTCATCCAGCTGTTTGGCATTAACATTACTGACACGTGCATAATTATGGGAGACTGACCAATCAGCACGCAGCAAGATCTCGATGCTTAAGTGAAATCCAGGGGGGCTATTCCACAAGGCAGAGTTTTCCAGGTAGCTGGAAAACTTAAGCAAAATGTGTCCAATAGGAGGAGAGGTAAGTGGCATTCCTATTGGGTAACCCTTACATTTGGCTTAAGTTATCAGGCTAATGAAGAAATCCTAACCCTAACCCTAACCCTAACCCCTCAAGTCCTTTTAACTGAAATGGTCCTAGCTCAGCGTGTGCTCCCCGACAGAGATTATCTGGTCACTCTAATACAGTGTTTCTGTCCCCGGAGACACAGAGACGGTCCACGTATTTGCTCCCACACAACCCTGCCAGACAGTACATGTTTTTGCTCCCCAGGGGAGCTGGGAGGGAGCAAAAATGTGGACCGTCTCTGGGTCCTCGGGGACCGGATTGGAAAACACTGCTCTAATACAAGCAATAGCTGGTCAAGCCAATAAGCAGCATAGGTGGCTGCCTTGGGCACCACCTTCTGGGAAAGGGCAGTAGTGGCATGGATACCCTGGCAGATTCAGGGGGCCCAGCACTTTAGTCCTCGAATACATAAAATAATAAAATAGCGGGACACCCAAGGTAACATTTGGGGGCCCAGAATTTGGAACTACTCCCCTGGTGCCCCCCCCACCCCACCGAGCTTCACTTCTGGCACCCCCCAGGTGTGAGAAGCATGACTGAGATAGTGGGCGGCAAAGTTTGCTGGGCGCCACTGGATGCGAGACAAATTAAATCATTTCACCAATTTATTAGCACAAGGACAAAAAGTCAATCTATCAGGCAGGCCAGCAGTCTGAAGCAGGGAGGTTTACACATCACACCCAGCTAAAGCATTCACCTTGAATAATTAAAGAAGAAATCTATACGTGCTTCGAGGTGAGTATGATTTGCGATCAAGTCGCGGAATGGAGTTGGATAAAAAACACAACATCTACCTGGCACTTACGAGCCGCCCCGTCAGGACTTTCTGCGTTACAGCTCAGGTTAACACAGACCCACGGCGAGAGCTAAAAATTAACGCCGTGCACCGACACGAGGCTTCAGCGTCGCTCTCCGCTCCTGCCGAGAGTCAGCAGGTCGACCCTACTTTTTACCCCAGCCTGCTTCTAAGCCACTGTCCGTATTTTCCCTGCTGGTTTTCAGGGATGAGGACACACAGGTGGATTAAGGGTGAAGAAACGCCCAAAACAAACAGAACAGGATGTTTGGCAAAGGGCTTTACTTGTTTTATTTCCATTGACAAACAATTGGACATAATTAATAGCCACGCTAAACGTTTCTGCCATGTTGGATGTAGCAAGTACTGTTTCAAGGCTTTAAAAGGCAAGACCTGCTGCATTGTGGGTAACTGGGGGGGCGGGGTTGGGTGGGGGTTAGGGCACATGGAGGTCTCTTCGGTGTCAGATTGTGAAACGACACAATGAGAAGGGAAAAAATGTAACGTTGAAATTATTTTTCCATTCCTTGACATCTCCTTTATATTTCAGCCCAGTGACCTTTAAGAGTTATAATGGATGGAATCGCTGGAGGAGATATTAGAAGGTTTTTTCTTCTGGTGGCTGGGTGTAGGACGGCGAACAGTTCTGGTCCGCTGGCGGGGGAGGTTTCTGAGGTTGAGCTGGAAGCGTTGAAGCGCAAAGTCACAGTTTTATTTCACTCCGCCTTTCGGAGAGAAACCAACTGTCTGTGGTGTAAAGCAGCTTAGAAGCTCAGGAGACAAACTTTCAGCGCTCCTGTCGGAGGATGTACACCGCAACACCTTCTGGATGCTCCGGGGGCAGTGGTGAGACTGTTACACAGTGTTTTATAGTTGTGCTGTCATTACTACTGCATATATAGATCGCTGCGAGTGTTTTGCATTTTTTATTTTGTTTTCCAACCTGGTCCTCAGGGACCTACAGACAGGCCACATTTTTGCTCCCTCCAAGCTCCCTGCCAGACAGTCCATGTTTTTGCACAATAATAATAATAATGAAATGTGGACTGTCTGGCAGGGAGCTGATAGGGAGCAAAAACATGGACTGTCTGGCAGGGAACTGGGAGGGAGCAAAAATATGCACTGTGTGGCGGTTCCTGAGGACTGGGTTGGGGAGCTGGGAGGGAGCAAAAATGTGGACTGTCTGGGTTGGGAAGCCCTGGACTAAGGTGTTTCCTTGCTTTGTGTCCTTTCCTTCCTGGGATAGCTTCCAAGATGTTCCATGACCCTGGGCACGATAAGCAGCTTGAATGTGGATAGAAGGATGTGTCACTGGTCATCCTGTCCAGGATACCCCCTGCTGGGTGTCCTGTGCTTCTGGAACAGGCTCCAGAATCACCCTGTCCTGACTAAGCAGTTATGCAAATAGATGTAATACTGCTCTGGTTTGTAACTGAGAAATTCAGGCAATTTTTTACTCAGAAAAGAGAGTATATGTACAAGTGAGGGCCAGTAAAGACATATTAAGCAGGTACAGATACCAAAGAGATCAGTCTCCGTGGAGGAGAAGTAAATCACTGATGGTATCTGACAGACCTATAACAAGCCCTCAAACATGTCCTGGAGAGTCCTTGTCCAGTAGTCCTTCATCCCGACCTTATTAATCTCTAATGGGCAGAGGCGGATAGTTCAGGTCCAGAAAGTAAAAATCCAGACCAAGATTTTGTTTCAACAATCCAGGTGAGCACTCTGTGAATGTGACTCTAAATACTCAACTGGTTGGTTGAAACAAAATCTTTGTCTGGATTTTTACTTTCTGGACCTGAACTGTCCGCCTCTGCCAACGAGTGTTATAAAAACGATGCCCAGTATCACATTAACTGTTTTTCGCGTTTTTTCTTCTGCAGAATCGGGCTTGTGTGCTGCTACAAAGCTGAGTTCTGTTCCTGGTTTGACTTGGGGCCTCAGAGTTGAGTGCTGGTGGAGTGGATTTCCTCAAGGCTGGCCGACAGGATGCGGATGGGGGAGCCCAGCTTGCCGGCACCCGCGGACCCGGTGCTGCCCCCTGCTGGCCTCTCTGGGAAGCCCTTGAATTGAGCGAAGTTGATTTCAGTGATGGACGCCGGTGGTGTTTCAGGATGCACAGTCAACTGAAGGTGAGGTATCTGGACGGAGCAGGGAGGGGGCCGACTGACAGCCTCCTTGCCCCCTGACTCACTCTCCATACCCCCCTCCGCCCACTGGTCTTTCTTCCAGGCTGTAAGGCCATAGTGACCCTTGTTCGACCCCTTTGGTCCACATAGCCACACCTCTGTAGCTTCTGACCAATCGGAGTCTTCCTCCTCAGGCACCGCCCCCAGCGATTGGGCATCACCCGTCAGTGAAGGCTTGTTAAAATGCTCACTGTCCATGAACTGAGCGGGAGGGGGTGCCACATGGGGGAGGAACCGAGTGGCGGCCTCCTCCGCCTGAAGGTGTTTCTTCAGAGCTTCCTGCAGCACAGAGGGGACCTGATGAGAAGGAAATGCAGCTGTTTTAAAATAAGATCGCAACAAATGTTTAAGGAGATTTTTCAGCTGTACTGCAGATATTTTCCAGCGTCTGTAACACGATTCTAGGCACAAAGAATTCCCCCCAAAATTAAAAAGCTTACATTCTGCATATATCCTGTTTTAATATGTGGTTATGGATTCAAACTAATCTTTTTTCAATTTACAGAGCAAAACCAAGCCTGCAGCAATAAACAGCCAGTTGCTCCTAAGTGACATTGACGGCTTTGAGGTATTGAAACCTTTAACTCGATAACGTCCGTCGCCGCTTCCACAATGATACAGATAAAATTAGCTAAACAGGTAAGTTATAAGGACCTGTATGCTGTGTGATATATTAGATGAAAGCAATTCAAACACACTAGTCATACTTCCTGTACTTTGCCCTTATGTATTTTATCCTCGCTGTTCCTTTCAGCTAAATGTTTTTTTTAATTCTTTTTTTACTGGTTTTATTGGCTAATTTCCAAAACTCACTGCTTTTGTTGTTTTTGTGCTGAGACGGCCGGTGAACTAAAATCAGGCTTCAGTAGTGGGACAGAAACTCACTCAGTCAGCAGGTCGACCCTACTTTTTACCCCAGCCTGCTTCTAAGCCACTGTCCGTATTCCAGACCTATCTTCCAGGGAAAACTTTCATTAAATTTCCAAAACTCAATGCAGGACCACAGAAACTTTCTGGAAAATGTATCCCGTGGACTGACTAGGTTTTGTAAATTTGGCATTCAGTTGGATTTGACAACAAAACAGGCGGCAAAGAATGAGAATTATGTCAAATAACTGAAATATTGAGAGAATAATGCACTGTTCATAATTCCAAGTTCACAGTAATGCACGGGTCATAATTCCCAAGGGCCATTCTGGCCCCCAGTTGCCTAGCGAACTGCTTTACATACAACACACATACAGAACTACACCAAACATATGTGTTTATGCAACGTATATGTATACCGAGGGGGGAGTTCTCAGGTTAATATTCTCCAAGGTTTGGATGGTGCTCTTCGCGATGGACAGCTCCTCCGTCAGCTCTGAGATGCGCTGGTTCAAACGTTTGCGCTCCCCGTCCATGTCCTGAACCTGGCGGTTTGCCAAAGGAGACCGGAGCAGCAAGCAAAACTGATTTCAGCACTGATGCATTGTGGGAATGGGAGCAGCTGTCTCCACCTCCGATATAAACTGCTGTTGTGGAAGTTCTGAACCCTCTGAGGTGTTCATTCTTGGCCCAGATGATGAGAGATATGTTGGCTGGACACCATCTCTGTAACTATCGCTACCACTCACATTCTGCTTATATGTGCCATTTGTCTTTCTACCATGTGTGGAACGTCTTCTGCAACGATGGCATTATGCAGCTATGGAAGGTTAAACATCTTAAGCAGACCCTTGGCTCACGAGACCTAGGGCTCACCACTGAACAGAGCTTGTGCTCCAGTAGGTTATTGGCCTGTTGAGTCGAGGAGTAATTATCCTGTTGTCTGGGAAGATAAAGGGAGAAACAAGAACATAATGAGTGACTGTGACAGAAGAAGGGAGGAAGAACTTGATCACAGGGCTCATCTTTATGAGCAGAGTTCATTTAGTTTTGTCAGATATCAGTGTTCAGTTGTTCCTGCGTTGATGGACGCTGTGTTTGAATGGATGGGGCACTGGCGCCCACATAACCTAACCCTAATCCTAACCCTAACCCTAACCCTAACCTCTCGAACTTGTCCTGCAGGCTGGTGAGTTCCATGCGGGTCCTCTGAAGCTCCGCCTCCAGCTGTTGATAGTTATTCTTAAACTCCGCCCCCATGCGCTCCATGCGCAGAGACGTCCGCAGCAGGCTCTGCTGCACATCTTTGTTCTGATCCTGCAAGAACCTGGAAAAACAGAATGAAATCCGGGAGGCCCATACGGGAAGGAGTATGGGGCATTTAATAGAAACGAACGCTTTATATAATACCTTATACATTTCTCTGTATGCAGTATAATTCCTACAGTTTTGGAGGCGCTGTCACAATACACCGACGGCTATTAATGTTCAAGGAGAAGCTGAAAGATGTTGAAGGAAACTCACCGAATTCTGTCAGCCTCAGACATTTCTTCCTGAAAACGAAGCAGTCGGGGCCGTCATGGATTTTCAGGCGAGCATTCACATCAAGAAATTCAATCATACATTTTATAGTTGAAAATGGCACGCATAATACAAATTACTTATATCATTTAGTGAATGGCCGAACCGAACCAGGGGTATAGATATGGACTTTGGTGTACATAATTAACCACATCTAAATGCCCCCCTCCCCCTCCCTGGAGTTCCTCTCCACTGACCTTGAGGCCCTGGGTAGTGTTGCTATCACATAAATGTTTTTCCCTAGAACTGGAGCTGGTGGTGTTCTGAGAGGAACTGGACTGACTGGAGCGTATCTCCAGCCCTTGGGCTGCTGTTGGAGCTTCCAGGTGGGGGGAGACCAGGAGTCCTGGTGTAGAGCGGGGGGGCTGGCGAGAAGGGTTATACTGAGCCCTTTGGTGGTGGTGTGCTTGCGGGGGGGGATTGTGTGGCTGATGGTGGGAGGGAGGTTGTCGGGGGGAGGGTCTTGGCAGGTGGGGGCTCAGCTCCGGGCTGGTGCTGGTCCCGTCTGTTAGCTGGGTCTTAGAGCCAACCTGGAACTGCACACCACATCCACTACTCAGCCCTTGTCCTAGGCGGAGGCTGTTTTCGGGGCTGGTGCTGGTGTCACTGTGGTATTCAGGGGTGTGGCCTCCTGGGCTGTGGCGGGGGTTGGGGGAGGAGCCAGCAGCAGGGGAGCGGTGGTGGGGATGAGGGAGGTTCGGGTCCTGATGCCTGGTGATCTGGGGGCGCCTGGTGCAGAGGGATTGGATGCTGGAGGCCTCAGAGCCCAGACTATCGGGACACCCCCACAGCCATCCCAACTTCCCTTTATCCATCTTTCCCTCAAGCCTCTTGCTCTCCTCTTCAGGGTACCTCAGAGAGTTCTGGCCTGGGCTGTTCGGCCGGCTGCTGCCTACGACGCCCAGGGAGCTGAGCCGGGACGGGCTGAGGACCCGTCTGGTTATCTCATTCAGGAAGGCAGAGAACTGAAGCTTCTCTTTGACCAAGTTCTGTCTGGCCTCCTCTTTCCTCCTCTCCACGTCACTTGGGCCCATCTTAGGCTTGCCTAGTCCTTCACTCCAAGACCTTGTCCCTGTTCCTGCCCTCTCGCCTTTGTGGGACAGGGCTTCCATGGATTTAGCTTTGCGGAAGTTGCCTGCACTTGCCAATCCACTTCCTGGTCCTTGTCGGTTCTTCAGAATACCCTTAGTGGGGAACAGGTTGGAAGAACCGGCTCTCTTGGGCTTTTCTGCCCGCCTCCGTCCATCTACGGTATTGCGGGAGGCCGGGTTACGTTCAAGGCTGAGAGACTTGTATAGATGACTATCATCCTCAAGTAAGGGCTTGGTGTCCTCTTCCTCATCCTCGAAGTCCCTTCTGCCACTGGAGATGTCGGTGCAGGACCGTGACTGCTGCGGCCGGTATAGATTCTGTTTCCTGTCCGCCAGGAAGGTCTCATTTTCCAGGCTGGACTCAGAAGACCAGGTGGAAGATGAAGAAGAGGAGGAAGAGGAAGATGACGAAGAACCAGAGGAAGTAGAGGAATCTGGGCCCGATGCATGAGGTGTTCCATTGGTGCTACGTCGTTGCTGGTGATAATGGCAATGACGGTGGTCACAGTGAGGATGATGCAAGTGTCCATTACGATGGTCTGTGCTGTGGTAGCCATGGTGATGATGAGGACGGCGGTTGTTGCCCACTGTCGTGCTATAACTACAGAAATTACGTTAGAATAAAACCAGGCCTTTCATATTCTCCCGTAGTGCATCCCTGATTGCTCTCTGCAGCCTTAAACATACATACATAAAACCTACAAAGACTCACCACATTGGCTGCATCGCTTCATTGTCTTCAGTGAATTCGCAGTGAATACACGGCACTTCAGAAGCACTGCTTTGACTTTCAGACGCCGTGATTGGCAGGCATCTGCCCTGAATGCTAGATTAGCTAAAAAAGAATCAGTCACTTACCTTGTATTAGCCTCTATATTATAATTATAAGACTGAATTCATTAATTCAGCCCAGTCCAATTACTTTGTTTTAATGCTCGGAATATTTAGATTCTTAGGTCTTCTTTCCATCTACGAGGTACTTCTACTTTGATGGCTTTCGGGGGGGGGGGGGGTTGAAACACACAATTCAGTCTTAATAATAAGGAGTATAATGCACTAGGACAAGTTCCAGGCCCCCCACCCCATGACCCTGTACTGGACAGTTTAGAAAATGGATGGACGGAATTAATTAAACTCATCACATCTATACTGCCGGCCCAACAACACCTTCCCTGATCTCCCATAAATCCATTTACTATTGCTGCTTATCCTGCGCTGAGTTACATTTGGGCCTGGAGCTAATCCCAAATAGCATGGAGCTGCATCCTGGCCGGGATGCCAGGGTGCGCAGAGAACGCGCTGTAAGATCAATTTAGAGGAAAACAAGGAACTGGGGCATCCAGAGGAAGCAGAGGGGGACAGGCGAACGCGACACGCAGAGAATTTGGCCCGGCGTTGCACCAAAAGCTCTGGCCACGTTAGCAAACAATGCTACCCGCCGAGCCACGCTGCACGTACAAAGAAATCAAACTTACACTCTGCCAATGGATTCTGCATTCTCTTTACAGACATGGGGAAGGCTTCAGAGTGTATGCACTGTTTCCAGATAAGCCACTGAAATTTTACATGCAAGGTAAAATCACTCAGTAAATTGGTAACCGATATTACCTCTGCAGGACTGGCAGCACGTTGAGAGATTTACCCTCCCAGTCTGAATGGCTCCAAGGCTGAATCTGGCAACAGCTAATAAGCACTGGCAAGTCATCAGAATTACTGCCCCCCCCCTCCCCCCAACGGCTGGCAGTATGAATAAAATAACTCGATGATCATTTGGTAACCGCAGCCAGATTTTCTAGGGTAAATTGCATTCAGAATAGGTTTAATATTGCATTGTTATCAAGTAATTTATGTTCACCTCTCTAGGAACACTTCTTATAGCTATAACTCACGCCTACATTTATCCTTGCAAAAATGCAGCGAAATATGGACACTAGTGAATACATATGGACTATTGATTGATGTTAATGAGGATTAAAAATAATTTATTATACTCTATAAAAAGGCATGCGAACATTGATTCTCTTGGAAAAGCACAATACCTACTGGGAACTGTACCCAAAGTCAAAAGTATTTTGCTGGAAATTGAGTACAATAAGAATACACTGTCCTACCAGCAGAATGTACCAGAGTTTCTAAACACATATAAATGGTTTATTGTTGAGTTGACTGCAGCATTCTCGGTCTTCTGGGTCACCCATCCTGCGATGTTACATCTGACAGGTAGATAGCTGAAGACCTGAACAGGCTGAAGCTTCTGAATCCTATACACTTTCTGCTCAGTGAACCTACCTACGATTTTGCTTATTCTTTGTCAACTGCGCCCCCTGCTGGTTGTAATGGTGTGGGTGCTGGTGCTCCCTTTGCTGACGGTGGCGCTGGTGAGCATCCTTCTCTGCTGGCTTTCCTTCTGAACCCTTCTTGCCCGTGCCTCCTCCGGCACTCCGCACTGGGCTGAAGAACTTCTCCATCAGCTGCTGCTTCCCCGGAGGCAGCTCGTCCACGACCGCATCGCTGGGCTTCTCCCAGGCGTCGCTTCCGGCCACAACTTCCTGCGGAGACGCGTCACAGCCGACCGCGCGCCGGGGATCCGCTACCGGCACCGGGCTGCGGTCCTTGCTCACTGGCACCTGGCGTCGCGGGGGTCTCCGGAAGACGCTTCTGCCGTGCCCCGTGGGAGTCATTGTTGCTCAGGGGAATCTGGGCAAACCTGTCTGTCATCATCCAGTCAACATTACGAAAATAAAGAGACCAAGAACACAATTGTGTTTACTCGTCGATCTACAGCTCTGTCTTTAAAACTTATTATTATTATAAGTAAACCCTTTGAAATGCCGCATTTCTAAAAGTATTTAAGTTGATTTACAGTATTGTTAATTTATGGCAAACACAACTGAGATAGTCTATATTTCAGAATACTGAATATACCCTTGAATAGGCCTTTTGGATGTTAGAAGTTTCACATATCAGCTTAGCACTGTTTCCCATTTTTCAGCGCACACACACACACACACACACACACGTGTGCCACAACAAAATTACACTGACAGCAAATTAATGAATGAAACGCACCAGCCTTTCAACAATGACATAAAACACACTATATACCCATTTTCAGCAGCTGTGTCCGAATCATTTACGTCAATGGATGATAGGAGAAATCGTTTCTGAATTGACATACCATGTAGATGTTAAGGACATAAAGGCAAATGCAGTAAAATTCCAGGTAACAGCTGAAATCAAAATATATTCTAATTAGCTCGGTAAGCTAAACAACCTGCAGCGTCGTGCCCAGATTTAGTGTCGGTTCCAGATGCGCTGCCTCTCCCGCAGGACCCAAAGGAAAGACGGAGCTGGAAACTACTCAACTTTCTTTATTGCCTCGCTGCCCCCCCCCCCCTTCCTGGGTCTCTCTGATAGGGATAATTATCCTGCTCAGGCAGGGACAGCGTGTGCCCCAAACGTCAATAACTCCAATGCGTGCGCCCAGTTGCCCACAGCAGAATCACTCCAACCAAACGTAAGGTTGCACAAGATAAAGGTATTATTATATGTGCTGTGGCCATCCTGTTATTGAGTATATTTTCATACCGAATGTAGCTTAGTGATGGTTTATTGTTAGTTGCATGAAAGAGGCAATTGCTTTTGTTAACGGTTCCGCTATGGAATAAAAATACATGTTTTGGAAGCATCCTGCATATTATGTTGGAATGACTCCCTTAATTCAAATAACAATGAAATTTAACGAGATTTATAATAGAGACTCCCATACCACACTAAATATATACAAGTTACAGGCTAAAATACACAACAGATATACATTATTCAGGGAATGTATGCGTAGGCTATTTTCTGCATTCAAATACATTTTTGTTTGTCAAAACCGTTCTTTTCTCAAATTGTTCAAAACTCCCATCCAAAGATACAAACCTGAGATTCAGAATAGTTCCATTCTGTATTTCTTTACTTTATCGAAGTTGGATTTTATGTTTTTTTAATTCATTTTTTAAATGAATGTTGCTCATGCGCCAACGCAAATCTCCTATCACTGATTCCCAAAGTTTGTGCGTTATGACCAAATTGTTTTGCAAACAACACAGATTGGATTTTCATGCGCCCATTCATTTTTTTCTTTTTCGCTGACGCCCGCTATAGAGGAACTCTAGTATCCTATTGATCCGGATGTCCCTGTTATGTCAAAGCGGCATCCACAATTATTCATAGTGGAGATGGTCACTGCAGATCGCATTGAATTCCAATGAGAAGCCGCGGAATACACAGCAGCACGTACACGGATAGTAGCCTAATTAAGCGCAAAGCCCCGTCTGTTATCGTGATCAGAACAGGTCAGCTTTGCGTCGATGTCGCTGACATGTAGACACCATAAGAAGGACGTGACTACAAGTTCAGGAACGAAACTGAGACACAAATTCGGTGGCAGCTATGGTCGGCCTCTCGTCCCCATTCTTCAAACTCCCCAGCAAATCGATACGCGTTTATGTAAGAGATCTGCCGCCATTGATGGACAATGTCAATAAAGCGTGGGGGCAACCTCCAAGCAGACGAAGCGACTGTTAGGACACCATTACGCACTGTAAAACTCAGTGAAGGCATTGAGAATGACGTGTCCTTCAACGCTACGGGAATATGACACAAAAACTGCATTTGGAAGTGACGTAATTGTCCACATTCATTTCTATCTAATCTTATGTTGATAGTATTTTTTTTAATTCAAACTTTCATAAATAATAAATCTCTTTGAGGTTCCCGGTCCGAAATAATAAAAAAACGAATAAAAAAATTGAGCTGCCATTTTGTTTAGTGGACCAGAACTGTTTGCATGTTAGTTCTCTATTTTCAGACCTTATTTTTGGTTTATATTTGAAAATCCATGCCTTGTAAATTCACTTAAAATGAGGGAACAAGAAAAAAAAATAGAGGACAAGACAGATCTGGGAAACATAGCGATTTCACAAACAAAAACGAATGACAGATTTGAATTGAACAATTGAACAATGGCCAGAACCACATGCATTTACATACCACAGCTGTCAGATTTTTGATTTTTTGGTATCAATCTCAACACGCTTGTTCTAGAACTGTCCAATATTCCAGGTCATTTCTATGTAGGAAGTAGCACGACACTTCATATTTCTTTACCTAGATGTTTATTGTGTAGAGCCCTTGTGCATGTAGCCCATATAAACAGAATCGCATCGTTTGCTACGGTTCCCAGTCAACGGGATCTGACAGAATGTTGTGAGGAGCTGAGTTACAAAGCAGGTGACTGTGCCATTGTCCTGCACCAATATCTATGTGAGGGGAACGCTAACAGACACTAATAACAGACTCACACTCATTAATAAGCTGTATATCACAGCGCTGCTGAATTCTTGAATCTTATTGGTCGGAATGGTGTTGATTAATTTGATTAAATTTCACCGCTGCATGTATGGTTGTTCTTGGCATCAACACCCATACATCTAAAAATGTATAATGCATAATCCTTACGTAATATCTGTTTGCTAATATAGTAAAAAAAATATCTCCAGTGGTTGACTTAGTATCACTCTTCGCGTTTTGACAATACAGTTTGTGTGTGTGCAACGTCAGTAAAGCTAGTTGAATCGAGCAAGCAGATGTATAGATACATATAGTGGATGGGAGAAAATCCTTGACTTGATCTGCTGGTAGGACAGTAACTTTCATCACGTCAGCTGATGCAATCTGGAAATTTCCGTTCTATCTTTAGTTTTCTCTATATCTGGGGCCCTCGTGCTTCCCTCTCGCTCGCTGCCATATCCCGTTCCCGAGCCTTCGATCCGGGGTTATCCATGGGCAGGAAAATAATGATGTTGATTCAGTCATCACGATGATCTGCAAGTAGGACATTCGCCAGGAGCCCTCAAGTGCATCAATTGCACACCAGTCTGGGCAAGGCAGCCAGAGCCCTGTTGGAATTTCCGGTAGCGTCAAAGGGGAAACCTGTGGGGCAACAGCACCCTCTGCAGGACGATATTATAAAATGCAACTCTCCTTTAAGGTTAATTTGGATGCAGGCCTCACCTTTGTGGAATCACAAAGAACAACTTGAACATTCAAACCGAGGCACCACTATTCTGAATTATGAAAGAATATATGAAATACAGACAAATATGGTTTCATTCACAAACAAAACCAAGTCTGCAGACTGAAGAGCTGTTGGTTTAATAAGCACAGTCTGTCTAGATCAATGTCAGGAGAGGCTTTTAATAAGACCCTGTGACAGTTATTGGTCTGAATACTGAAAACCTTCACAATTTGTATAAATTTCATGATTATTGGCCTGAGCTGACCTGGTAATCTTACTTCATTAGCTTTCATTTCCATACCACGTCCCCAGGCTCAACACAGCAAAAACAAACTCAACCAGGAAATGATTGACAGTCCAAGATCTCTTTTCCACAAACCTTATGGTAGGAAATATTGGCTTTATTTTTTTTTATTGCTGCATTTTATTATTTATTGGAGTTTAATGCACAGGGGCTAAAATTTGAACTGGCTTATGAAACCAACATTTCACCCAAACAATGAAGACTGTTTATGTATATTAGCCTTAAGTCCAGTTACATAATTTGGTGGGTTGCATCTTTAAACTACTAAAGTAAGCTTATCATTTTCTCCTTCCTGGTGCAAACTTTTTTGGATCAATAGAATATAGCAACCTTAAATAGCTGCAGCACAAAGAGCAGTGATGGAGCTATTTAAAACTTATCTCCCACGAACGCCTATGCAGACCATGTCATGCACACATAGTCCTTAACACTCACTCTTTAAAAAAAAAAAACACATACTCTTCCGTAAACTGGCCAGCTGGCTGTATTTATATCTACTGATGTAATTAAACCAATCAGAACCAGCTAGGCTTCACTAATTCTGACTTTTGCCGATATTAGGCTGACTATCAAACGCTATGGCAACACGAAATTGTCCAAAACAGCAGCAGATTCATTCTTAAATGGCCTTGTTGTGGTCTTTGATATGAGAAACATGAGATTAATTATGAGAAATATGAAATATGAGATTAATTATGCCGTATCTTCAGCAGAGTTTAGAAGTTGATTCCAGGGATGGATTGGATCAGGGTGGAGATACAGTTCATCTAACAGTTCATGTAACTCAAATTCCTAGAAATAAAGATTAAACTCCCTGATATGCAATTATTATTGAAACAATTTGGTAGGTGTGGTACTTCACATTTTATGTTGCTTCCCAGTAAGAGGCTTGCCTTGCTCTTCAGCACAAATTTCTTTCGATTAGTAAAGATTACGCAGAGGTCCAGAAAGTAAAAATCCAGACCAAGATTTTGTTTCAACCAACCAGTTGAGTACTCTGTGAATATGAGTTTTTATATTGAACTGGCTGGTTAAAACGAAATCTTGGTCTGGATTTGTACTTTCGGAACCTGAACTTTCCACCTCTGAGATCACGCAAATGAAACGGACACTCACATTTAGGATTATGATATGAGTAAAGCGCAGATCAACTCATGTTACGTACCAGGAAGAAATTCTGTCCTCCTTACAGACTTCCACTGTACTTTGAGGGTTATTGGAGATCCCTGACCTACTGGTTCTGTAGGTATAATGTCCTCCATTCCGGGGCCAGGTTTTTTACTTTTGGGGCCCCACCCAAAAAGTAACCG